TTCCAGCAGGTAAGCCATTTTTGTATAATGGGTTCTTGTGACGAACTAGAATACGATACAATTTCCTAAAATCAGGTAAAGCTGCTGTCCTCATCCAAACGATGAAATCGGTATTTAAAAATCCATTATTGTCGGAATTATTTAAATCTAATTCATATATTGGCTTTTGCCAATTTGGAGGTTTCACAGTTTTCTGAAATCACAAGTTCATAAACAGATTACACTATAAATATGAAGAGAACCCAAAATTTAAATTATATCAAAAGAATTTATACAGCCGCACCGCTCTAGCAAAACGTCGTACTTTTAATTTGGTCTTACTTAAAAAAGAAAATTTACCCTAAAAGCATGCTGAAGATTCTTTCCAGGTGGATTCCTATATTTTCTGTTCTTATCAACCGGCCAAACAACACCTTTATATGTCCAAGGTACTGGATCACTGCTCCCATTACGATACAGTGTGAATGAATCTGAAATTTTTGGGATAAACTGAAAAGAAGCTATAATAACTGATTTTTAAGCAAAAAACACAATAAAACGTTAGAACTACTTTTCTAACCATTAAACATGGAATTCGCAACTGCACCACATGGAGCAATAACTTTCCGGCCTGAGGATGTGTTTAAATATGCATATGGCTCACAGTCGCCCACATTCTGAAATCTCACAACATTTTTGAACTTTTCAACTCTGCATCCAAATTTTGAATGAATTACATCAATTCCTTTTTTTACCTAAAAAAAAACTACCTGAAGATTGCCCAGAAGTTGGCTATCACTGCGACTTTTCATATATCGTCGATGATTTTGAAAGTAATTGTCTAATGCGTAATAAAAATAAACATCACCCTGGAATTTTTGAACGTACAAAATATTCTAATCAATCAAGCAAGTTTACAGCCGGAGTAATTACCAAAATAGATAACAGAAAAAATTGAAAACCTGAAAATCGCCATCCAATTTAATCACATATTCACAAGTGTTCTGTGAAGGTACACTGCATGTTGTATAATCCGTGATTGACTCTTTCACTATAACAATACTAATTTCAACTGCAAGATGTGTATCTGATATTTTCAGGTCTTATATGATAAGATAGTCGCCACATTTAAAGATAAAAGGATTAGGAACTAGCGATTATTACCTGTTTCGGATTTGCAGACACCCGTTTCCTAGAAAATGAATATAATTGAAAAGCGACCCTCTGACGGTAAATCATACCATATCTTGACAAAATTAAGTTAAGATGATGACTTGCCTCCTTGGCTGGCCAAGAATAAAGCGACACCAATAGGCAGGAAAATAACGCCAATTCCAAAAATTGTTGGTATGACTGTTGACGCAGTTAGTATCGGCTGCCATGCAGGTAATTTTTGTTGACGAAGTTTTGTATCTGAAAGTTGTCGAACTAAAACTGTGGATCGCAACTAGTAGGAAATTACTAATAGAAAACTAGTAGGAAACCGAAGAGGTAATTAACTTCCCAGATAAATTTCACTTTTCAATCTGATATTTTCTTTTTGAAAACATTACACTAGTGAAGTGTAATAGGAAGCCACATCAACAATGCAATGCATTGAGTTCAATAAATAATTCCCGTCCCAATATGCACTATCAATTTCTTCGGAATACAACAACAGTACTTCCCTTTGCAGAACTGTATGATATAAAACTCACAGCACTATGAAAATACTATTTTTATACTCAAAAAATTTGTATTTCAATAATCAAAACGGCGACAACGTGACTTTAAATTTTATAATTACAGGAACCAGAGTAGCTGACAAATTTTTATTTAAACCTCCAATTTTTGAGACCATTAGAAATTTCAGAATTCAGTAGTTAGGAATTCGATAAAGCTGCGAAAAGTACTCGAATATGAATATTTCATGAAGAGCAAGTATAAGCCGGTACCAAATGTGCTCTGCAGATAAATGGTTTCAGTCTTATGTTTCCTTACAGATTGCTACTTCTTATTTTCTTTTCATTATCTCTTCTTTCATAAGGAGATTTTTGAACACTGTCCTCTCATTATCATTGCTCCTAACTGAAATTTACCACTTTCCGAAGATCACTTTTATTTCAGTAATGTGTCAGTAAAATACATTTAATCTATACAGTTTATATCAATTCACCTTATTATCCCCAGAAATCATAGTGGTATATAAAAGTATTTTTTTAGTATCTAAAAAATAATAAATACAATGTGGCGCATTAAAAAAGAGCCTAGTACAATGCTGTTCCATTCTTCATCAAAAGCGAATCTGCACTACTGATGGAAACAGTCAAATATTGATATCATTTTTGTATGAAAAATGATTGATCAGAGAAAGTTTTATATTTCAAAATTAAAAAAAAAGTTATTGCTTACAAAGAAGTTATCCTCACCTAATAAAAATCTTTTTATCATGTATACATATTATTCTGCTCTACTGAAAATCCAATCTGGAAACAAAGATATAGTGATATGCTACAAAAATTCCACTTTGTGGAGAGAAGGATGATTAAAAGACCAATTAAATTTTCACATATGCTTTAACTCACTGGATTATTGATATAGAAAAGACATCATCGTTCGATTACTGCCAAAATAAATTTTAAGTATCATCTTTACTTTCACCACACTGTGCAGCTGGGGTATCTCTAGCTGTTTAACCAATGAGTACTAAACGGCACAATACGATGTTCTTGGTTCAGAAATAATGTTAAAGAAGCTCGGTTAACTAAATAAATTAGCTCAATAGACAACCGGGTAAAAAAAAAGTACGATTTGAAGTGTAGAAAAACTGACCACGAGGTTTGTTACGTCTCGATCTACCGGTCGGTTCAGTGTTGCTAATGGCAGAAGCTGGAGGTTGTTGGATTTCTTGGAGTGGGGAGCTTGACGTAGTGAGACGTTCTGGAAAGGATGCCATTTCGAGCCTCGCATATGGATGACTACTTTTGTCGAAACCAATTCAAATTCAATATTTAATATTGGAAACCCACTGGATTAGTTATTTGACGACAACAGGACGACTGCCATATATCGGTTAAATATTAATCTATTCAAAAAAACATATCTTTTTAAAGTTTAAATCTTTCTATCCTGATTTTACACTTAATTATCAATTGCTACGCTCAAAAGATAGGAGAACAGTGATGTGAGCATTGTTCAAATTTTACATGTCCACTGACTATCGGTAAATATCACACAATTTGATGAACGAAATCTGCAATTTTCACAGTAACTTTGTCGTTGTATATCATTCGTACCTTACCGAATGACGTTTTCGAGATGAAAGGATCTTTCAGAGAACGATAAAGGAGCACTCACCTCTCCCCCTCATCCCTCCCTTCCCCCATCACATCCGAGCCTGCCAAACACCTGTACAAGCAACAAAGTTAAAAACTGGTGGGATGACAAGATATCGTACCGCGTTTTCCTGTCAAGACATTTTTATAGAGATGCAACTGGAAAGTGATTTACTAAAGGGAAGGCTGTCCGGATAAAACGGCAGGAAGAAGGTGTTGTTGATGCTCTTCCAATTCGTGGAATCTCATTTTAGTGGTCTTTGGTAATTCATGTTAATGAAACTCATTTCCAGGTCTTATCCCCGTTTAATAGCAAATTCTTCGGGAAGTATGTCTCATGTCCTTGCTTTCATATTTATCTTTTATTTTGCTTACAATTTATAAAGCAAAAAAAAAAAGTGCGGACACTTCGAATTTTCATTCTTGCCTATGCAATGCACATAATATGTTATAGAAAATATTTTTCACTTTAATGTTCACTGAATTTTCGCGCAATATTTCTTTTAATTTTTAAACATTGTTTCATGTTCTGCTGCAGAAAATGTCATTTCGAGGTCGAGGTGGTGATGGTCGAGGATTTGGGAGTTTTAGACATGGCGGACGCAGAGGAAATCGAGGCGGGAGTAATCGCAATAGTGGCTTTGATCAAGGTCCTCCGGAACAAGTGACTGGTAAATAACTCTTTCATCACGGCTAGTAAACAGCGCAACGTAGTTTTTTGTCATAGCAGAGTGTGTTGAATCATATGGGAGGGTTGTAATATGTCATTAATAGCTGGAAGAAGTGTAGAAATTTTCACCGACATTCTTATTTCATCTGGTCGGTGTATCAATGTATTAAGGTAGATTTCCCTCTATTACAAATTAATCAGAAGCATATTGCTGGGCGGATCATACTCACGACTGATAACTATCGATTCATTTTTGATCACGTTTGGTAACTATCGGCTCGACAAAACGTTCTGTTTAATTTGAATGATAACATAAGATTCTTTGTTCATATAATACGTTTGTTTATAGAAATAGGATATTTCACGCATACGTGTGAAGACGATATCGTATGTCACAACACATCAGGCAAAATTCCTTACTTCAACGCTGCAATATTTTTCGAAAACAAAGAGCAAATTGGCAAAGTTGATGAAATCTTCGGTGGTATCAAGGACAACGTGCGTATATTATCCATTTCACCAAATTTAATTAATGTACCTTAACATCAACATGTAAATTTATTTATATAGTAGGACTTGGGGTGGATGGTTACTACAAAACCACGATAAGAACTACTTAAATTTGCAAGCAAATTAAGATTTTTCTGTTTTTTAGCCTTCTAACTTTTTCGAAACTATTAACAATAGTTTCTACTAGTCGTATTAAAAAAGTACTTTGACGGCCGATTTTATAAGCTTCTTTTAGTGTATTCTAACCGTACCGAACTTAGTTTTTGTTCGCACTTATACCATCAGCAGATACATTATTGTACCAAATGACCATAGAGTCAAGTTGATCTTGGCTGTTAAAATTGTTAAAGACTGATGGATATATATCGTACTGAAGCGGATAAGATTCTATTTTCTTTTTTTGAATTTCCAAAGTAAAGTAGCACGACGTTTCAGGGATTTACTGTGAAACTGCAAAATGGTATTAAAGCTTCCTCTTTCAAAGAAGCACAAAAGGTGTACATTGATTCAGGAAGACTTTTACCAATTGACCGGTTTTTGCCGAATGGTGCAAGTAAACGAGGAAAAGGACAAGTACGTGGTAATGGACGGGGTTAGTTTAATTGTATTTCATGCAGTACCTTAGATTTGAAATTGAATGGAATGTAATGTGGATATTGAAAATTATATATTTAGGCTATGGAGAGATTCCCCATTTTTGTTTTCAATATTCATGGATATTAATTTCAGGTGGTCGTGTTGGTGGTGGCAATGATCGAAATAAATTTCATGGTTAGGCGCATTTTTACAGCGCATTAATATTTATTCATTAATTCTAATCATTCTTAATTACGTATAATTCTTCTTTAAGGTCGGGGAGGAAGCACGTTCAGTCGAGGCAGTGGAGGCGATCGAGGTGGTGGAGGTGGTCGAGGCGGTTTTAGAGGTAGTGGTCGTGGAAATTTCAGAGGTGGTGGAGAGTGGAGTGGTCGAGGCAGTGGTTATCGAGGAAGTGGGGGCAGTTTCCGAGGGAAAGGTAAATATTGAATCGTTATCGTTGTTGAAATTATAAGAAAATATTTATGATGCTTACATGTTTCTTTGATTTAGATGCATCAGTTATAGAAATTATTATTTTTCTTGGCAATGCAGCTAAGTATTTTTTCGTAGGCTGACTAAATCATTCGGTTTTAGGACGAGGGGTTGATCTTGGCAATAAACGAAGTTTTGGTGGACGTTCAGAAATAATCCAAAATAAAAGGATGAAATTTGATGACTAGATGTTTTGATTGTTGCAGTTATATTCAGGATTTGCCACAGCATTGGTGAAAGTGTTATGAATTGCGTAGTTATAAATTAGTCATGAGAATGTTTTTTTTTGTTGATTTCGGGTATCCAAAATTTACGTTTTATTAAAAAATCACCTTAAAAAAATGTTCCATGCTAAGTGCTTCTGAAGTTTTACTATTTTTTGTCTTGTAAGTAACTTTTAAAGAGTGCAGTATTTCAGAAATTTCTTTTGTTTCCCAAATTCACGTTTAACGACTGTTAAAATTTTATTTAATACGTGATGTGCTGTATGATTTCTTTTTTATGTTGTTGATTTGTTTTGTTTGCGTATGAAGAAGTCTGTTTTGAAGTATTAGTCACTGTCTATTGCAGCACGCTGTGTAAAAACGAGGTAAAGATATTTGAGAATGGATAGATCCTTGATGGGACAGAAGTGCCCGAGTATATCCAAAATACTTTTCGTCACAAAATGTCATATTATCTGGAAAGAGAACTGGGGCTTTATCTGGAAAGGGAATTATCTGAAAGAGAAGATCCGGAGTTTAGATAGTTGATTTCTATGAAGCTCGCCTCGATATATCTGGATAATTCTGCTAAAGGTGTGGAGAAACGCGCTGATGGGATTCTAAATTTCGGTGGTTTGAGGTCTTATCGACGGGAATTGTTCCATGTGATTTGACTCAGGTTTCTATCTAGTGACCACTTTAATTATTCCTAGGCTAAAAAAGATCTTAAACACAGGGCAGTTGTCATTGTCATGGATACTGTTTGGTTTTCATAACGATTCCCTACTACCGTATTTGATCTTTGGTTATTGTTCGAGAAGGCCGACTTGTGTTAGAATGTTAGATGTAGCGAAGATGGATGTGATTTGCAAGGTTTATATGAAGCGGAAAGTTTCGGCTGAACAACTATTCAGTTTCTCAATGTCAGTTGTGCTTATTCGATTAAACTCCATCTTAGATTATATCATTACAGGTGGGATGTCTTTTGCTCCAGGAGATCTGTGGTTGATTTCAGCACCAAATGAGGGCTCTCCACAGGAAACATGGGATAAATTGAATCGGACAACTGGCAATATGTCCGTCAACTATAAATTCAATGTACCTGATCTGAAAGTAAGTTTTGTTTTCGTGTATCGTCTCAATCATTGTGCCAGTTTTATTACTTCACTTTACATATGTTCTTGAGCAAGTGGTATATGTTTGTATTAGGGGTAAAAAATAGATTGTAAGTTAAGAGAGTTAATCTGAGAGTCCCAGTGTGTCCCTGGCCGCTAACTTTTATTTTTGTTTCTTTACTCTATAGTGATTCTTTAAAACTAGGAATTTTTGAGTGTATTTGCCTACTAGGGCGAGATTTTGGCCAAATTTTGCTGAAGTTTAAAAGTAGTATACGTGAAGCAGCGGAGATTTCCATAATTATGTTCATTATTTATAGAGGGAAGCTAAATTTTGAGAATTTGGAGGTGATTTTACTGACAAATTGAGTTAAATCGTGATTACAGGTAGGGACTTTGGATCAGTTGGTCGGTTTATCTGATGATTTGGCCAAATTGGATATTGCTGCGGAACAGTATGTGTATGAGTTATTTTTCTTTGGCTCAATATTTTGCCAGTTAGCAGTTTTGGAATATACTGCTTCCTATCTACCTGTAATATTTTTGTTTTAGGGTAACGCGGAAATTAACACAGTACTTTGCTGATGTTCTGGAAGATGAACAGGATAAATTGCAGGAAAATCTTATCGTTAGTGGTAGTAAGTTTAAACTTATTATGTGATCGAATTCTAGACAGAATGATTCATTCTGTGTTGATTAAGCTGTTCTAATTATTTGCATAAAGATTTCTGAGTTCATCATCGGCCTTATTTTATATTCCAAATATTCAGTCTTTTCTTTTCAGAAGACGTGAAAACTTATGTTACCAAATTCCAGTGGGAAGGTGCAAAATATCCTCTAAAGCAATCTCTGAAAGTGCTCAGTGATATCATTGGAAAGGTAAAATCAATTTTTCAAAGTTAAATTTGCAGATGCCCTTTCAAAACACAACATTTTGTTTTTCAGCAAATCACTCAGATTGACAATGATTTGAAGACGAAATCCACTACCTACAATAATCTTAAGAATAGTCTTGCGTCAATCGACCGAAAAGCAACGTACGTTTTTAGATATCATTTGACTTTCTGTATTTATTGGAATTTAAAAAATAGTCCATAGAAGTTTTATTTTTCGAGCACAAAATAGTCATATAATATCCTTGGTTACTTGATCGCCTCTGAGGAGACAATGTATGTTTGTGATAGATATGGCAAACAGATAAGTAAAAATAAGCAATCAGGATAAAATGGGCCTGCCTCGAGGTCGGTATGGAAATCAGTTTAAAACTAAAGAGCAAATTTATGTATTTTTGATGCTTAGTCATCGAAATATCAAATCACTTTTAAGGGGCAGTTTGTTAACAAAAGATTTGTCAGAAATTGTGAAGGCTGATGATTTTATCCTCAATTCAGAGTACTTGCAGACGTTACTAGTGGTTATACCAAAGTACGTTTAAGAGTTTGTTTTTATTAAAAAATTTTAAGTCATGCTGTTTGGAAACAGAATTTTTAATTTTACATGCATATTCATGTTCTCGCTAGTTATTCCTTTTTAATTTTTTATTTTCATCAGGGCTGCCGCTGTTGTTATGAATGTACTATACTTCGTTTTAAAATGCAGTATATGTTTTTTCTTGTTTTAGAAAAGGAAATAGAGATCTCATTAAAAAGGCCAGCACCGATTTAATGGTTTAGTTTGACTAATTTTACTTTATCATATTTCGAACTTCTTTGTAGAATAATGATAATTTTTCATCTCTTTTTAAACAGAACATTAGTGAAGGAATGGCAACAAAAGTATGAAACATTATCTGATATGGTAGTGCCTGGATCAAGCCGCTTAATTATTGAAGATGGTGAACAGATGTTGTTCTCTGTTACACTATTCAAAAAAGTGATTGATGAATACAAAACACATTGCAGAGAGAACAAGTAAGTGGAGAAAGCTGTAAAATGCAGCTTAAGTAATTCATGTAACCATTTCATAAAAATTGCTTTAGCTGTTATTTTCTTATTTTAGTTAATGCCAGTTTTTATTTTTTGGAATTTCTAATAGAAGTGAAATTTCAAATCAGTACACATAGTAGCAGCAGCTTTTTTCCAGATTCATTGTGCGGGATTTCGTTTACGATGAGGAATCTTTGAAAATAGGTCGTAATGAGCGCGATAAGTTGGTGCAAGAGAAACAACGTCAGTATGCCCCACTTGTTCGATGGCTAAAAATCAATTTTGGCGAAATTTTCTCTGCCTTTGTTCATGTGAAAGCATTGAGAGTGTTTGTTGAAAGTGTTCTCAGGTAAATAGCTTAAGCTCGATGTTTCTATCATAAGTTCAATAATGGATATTCGTATACTTTAGCTTTGCTGTAGATTAGATTATTCAACTGGAATGAACTTTTAATCATTACATCTACCTTTTAGTGACATGTCGAAATCGATTACAGTCTTAAAACATTATTGCTCTTAGTACGGAATTTTTTTTTAATACGTTTTTGGAATTTCATTTGCTTTAACAAGATAACCTGCTTTTTTTATATATGCTAATTTATTAATATTTGATCTTTTAGATATGGTCTACCTGTAAACTTCCAAGCAACGGTCATAGAACCAAGTAAGAATTCGCATAAGAAATTACGAGCGTCACTTCATAATCTTTATTTGCATTTGGATACATCTGCCGCTGGTCCGATTGAGGTTTTTTTTTTCATGTCTTGAATAATTAGGTGATTTTTTTTTGGCTTGTTATATTATCTCTTATAGTTTTAGACTAATTTAAAAAATTTTCCGCATTTTGATTTTTAGGCTATCGAAGATAATCCAATATTGATGTCGTTGGGTATGCATGACTATTATCCATATGTTTTTTTCAAGATAAATATCGATTTCACTAGCATAAAGAGATAAGTTCTCAATAACGTCTTCCCTTATTTTTTACGTGAATATTTGCCAAGTTATGTTAGTAGTCGTCGTTCGTTTTATATTATGGAAATTATATTAATTCAATGATTTCTAACATAATCAGTACTTGTGTAGAGTTTGACACTGATGCAACTGTAATATCATTGATGCATTCCATGTTTGAAACATGTGAAAAATTCTTCTCATCTTCAATCTTACGATCGATATATCCGAAGAAATACTTCGTATAATCATGCAAAAGATTCTTTTTAAAGATTTCTTAACCCAAATGTTTGTAACTTATGTAATCATTTTAGTCAAATGTGTTGCTATTATGTAATTCACTTAATTTTTCCCCGAAATTTTAATATTTATATCGCGTGAAATGAGAAATATCCATTTTCATCATGTTTCTTGAATAATTGTACACTCCTTTAAGTTTAATATCTTCTATAGTTTAATTTGCTTACTAATTATGATTCAGACTATTGTTGTTCCATGTGTAAAAAAGTAGTACTCATTGCTTATTGGAGCTTCTTACAATGAGATAGTTTATTATAGTGTGACTAATATATTTGGCTTATGCGTGATAAAAGATGACCATCATTGTATTCCAGTAGTTGTGATAACTGTCGTTTTTTTCCAGTACATATTCACTTTATCTTGTTGCCCATCAAAAATACCGTCAGAAGTGGACGGAGTTTGATATTTGCATATAAGAATCTTTTTAACATATTGAATGTTTTTACCTGCGACGCTAGTATTGCATGGAAGAAATTTTTGGCGTACGGTTCATTGTACAAAGTAGGTTTGTGACACAGCAGTTGCGTGTAGTGACTCAGTACTGATTTTAACTGTTAACGATGTCATGCTTTATGGGAGTTGTGTGTTTATTTGAAACGAACAGTAAATTTAAATTGGATTTGATACCGCTGGGATTTTCTGTATGTTCATGAGGGTGTTGGTTGGCGTGAATTATTTTGCTGATAAATTAATATACTCCCGGGAATAGATCGCTAACTTTTCTTATTGTTCTTGGCAGTTTTTGGAGCTAGTTAAGGGACCCAAAGACCTCGTAATGTATGTATGGAAAATGCTTTATGCATTGCAAGTGTATGATTAATATTTTGAGTTCATATATTGGCTTCGAATTGATTGCATGCTGATTAGTGAGTTAAGGCGGTATGCATATATATGAGGTTAGAAGAAGCGAGTCGCTCTATGCAGAGGTTGTATTAAACTTTAATTTAATGCTCCCTCGTTCAGATATTCTATTGAATACAGTGTGGCTGAAGTTCTTCCAAGTTAGAACTATATTAGATGTGGAAAGTCGATTTCGATGATTTATTTGAGGTAATACCAGTTTCTTTTGCAGTAGGTTTTGATGAGGTACAGGAGTGGATCTAGTCATTCGCAGTAAGGATTTTAGATCTCAACGATTATTTTGAATAGAGTCAGATTTAACAAGCGTGAAGGTATGAATTTAGTTTTGATTATAGTACCTAATTTTATTTATTTCAGTTTTAATATGGATAGGATGCACTTATAATGTTTAATGTTAGCAGTATTTAAAATGTATATAATTTTAGAATTATAGCAATAGCCGTAGATATGAAGAGAATGAGGTTGTTGCTGCTCTCTTGTTTGGCAGTGTTTCATTGACGGACATAACAAACGTTTTGTTTGGCTGTTTATCAGATTTTAATGCAGCATTGGATCTGATACGTTTTATTGAAAGTTCGTTACCTTCAAGTAAGTTTCAAAAGTATAACACGAAAAGATAAAATTAAGTAAGAGTCAGTATTAAATAAATATAAACAAATACATATAGTTTCTGGGTGGTATAAGTCGACGGTTGTTCCAAAACGTAAAGATCATTTATAAGCAATTCTAAATACCAATCCTGCTACAGATAGTAGTCTTCCTTTATAGATTCCCTTATGCAGTGCAGCTGTGGTCAGATGATGATCTGTCATATGATTTTGATTTTCAGATATTACTTTTCTTGGCGTTATATCCCTGGTCAATGTGGAGTATCCTTTCGATTTGAATACATTAGCTGTATCTGTGGAAAACACGGAAGGATTCCTGACATTGTTTGCAGTCGAAGCTTCACTCAAAGCTCGAGATGTTGGTGGTATCATAGAATTGAACAAAGGAATTGATTTGCGGTATAATTTTTTTATTAAGCTATGATAAGTTAAATTTCGAGATGTTATTTAGGAATATCGTGTTTAACAGCGCATATTGCAGACCATCTTCCACTAAATCTAGCCAGAGTTTATTGGCCCGAACATCACTATGTCTAAATGTGAATATCAATATAAGTGAGAAGGGCAATCTTCTTGAAGAAATAGGCAGTGCTTTCACTGCTCAATTGGATAATATTGAATCCTTATGTTTCGTAATTTCGAATAATAGCTTTATCTTGGGTAGAAGTAAAGGGATCGATACGAAGCGACTTAATGAAGAAATGCTACAAATAAGTGGATATTTATCCAGTGGAAGGGTATGTTATTTACTGCGAAGTTTTCTGAAATGTTTAAAGTCTCAGTTTTGAAATTTTGTTTTTTCAATATTTCTGACACTTTATTTAAATTTATGTGTTCATGGAAAGTATTACAGAAATTTGTGAATTTTACGCCACTCATACCAGTCAAGAAGAATTCTGATGACTCTTTACCGAGACTTGTTCCAATCGTAAAAATTAGGAAAGGTAACAATTTTGTGATTTACATATCTTAAAGTGAAAAAAAAAATGTATTAATTTTCAATATAGAGAAGATATGGAGATATTACTTTGACGCATAAAATAGGTTTTAGCAGATCTGCTCCGTTTCAGTGAGATTTCTTAAAATAAAATTTTAGATTAACACTTAGGATGAAAGGAATTAGTTATAGATCTCGCTATGTTTTGCAACGTGAGAGCGGAGATAACATCGGTGGCTGAGGTGCAGTCCGATGATGGTCCAGCAGAAATTCTTACCTTACTACGAAGAGCTTTGAAGCGAATAGTATATCTCACTGGAAGATGTTTATATGAATTCGTCAACTTTAATTCCGAAGTTAGTTTTGGACCTTTAAAATGAATTATAGTTCTTTATGAAGCTGTTTTCAATTCTGGCAAAAGACTCTTCTGTATTGTTTTGTTGATAACCAAATCGTGCAGTAGCTAATCGATGAATTGCAAAATGTTTGAGAAGTGTTAAAGATTAAAATTTGTATAGTTGATGAATTAATCCAAAAAAGTTGTTACAGCGTTTAATAAATATTAGATGCGGTGTGTTTTCAACGAACAGTGGATTACTGTCGGTGGTTTATCCTGTTATCGAGGATGACATGGTGTTACGTATGTTTTAGTAGATTTTAGAAAGAATAATTCAACCTTATTTCGGATTATTTTAGAAAGAATAGTTCAACCTTATTTCGGATTCATCAGTCTTTTTCTCATTGCTTCATGTATGATTTTCAAAACTTTTTTAATATTAAGGAAATTACCGGGCGAAACTTCACCGTATTTTCAATCTTCCTTCTGACAGGCCAATGTTGAGACCTTCCCAATCTCTTCAATTTAAACCTGGAATGCAGAAATTATTGCAAAATCCTCATTTACATATCAGATCTTGTAAGAATTTCAATTTGATTATTTCTTCAAATTAATTCTTTTTCTTCGACCAGTTTTCTATCTTTTTTCAATTACTTATTTGCTTTTCTTCTGAGTAACTTCCTTATTTTGCATTTTCAAGTGGCGTTTATTATTTCATATCTTCCGAAACTTCCGAGGCTAAGCTTTGTTGAACATTGCTAATGTATGTTGAAGAGCATTAGAAAGTTGCTTCTTTTCTAGCAGAAGATTATGCACTTTAAAGGCAGAGGTGACTTTTTTGTGTTTCTATTAACCTTTAACAGAAATTATTGAAATTGCGGCTTTCTGAATCAGACATTGTTATTCTTTACAGATAAACCAAAGGGAAAGATATATATTATCAATGGCTTCTACAATTACCATCATTACATGCAGGTTTATTTCTTTCAAATTTAAATACTCTATAAAATGGAATTACTTAAATAAACTTATTTATTATCTAAAAATGTGCGAAGGTTGATAATATATACTTGTAAAATAAAATTTTAACTTCTTTTTTTTGATTGGTTGATAATTTAATTCATCTTAACAAGAATGATAAGTTATCTGATATAAAACAGTGGTCTGAAAATTTCGCTAATTTCTCTCGTTGTTAAACATCGGTACTTTAAAGGACGGAATAGATGACAGTGGCTGGGGATGTGCTTATCGTTCTTTCCAGACATTATGGTCTTGGTTTGTTCTTCAAGGGTATATTGATAAACCCACTCCAACGCATTGTGAGATTCAACAAGTAACTATCTTTTTGATCGTCTAAATTTCACTGTTTATTGCATCATCAACTTTTACATAAAAGGCGTAATACTGTCCAAAGTTCGCAGATCTTCGCTCTGTTTTTGAAATTCAGAGTATGGTCTGGATTTTAAAGGGGATTGAAACTTGAGAGTTTGTACGATTGTGGCGATAAAGATGCGACGTTTGTGGGAAGTCAACAGTGGATTGGATCTATAGAGCTGAGTTACTGTTTGGAAAATATGGCTGGTATTGAATCACGAGTACTTACGACAAATTCAGGCACAGAAGTAACCGCAAATATGCGTCAGTTGGCACTTCACTTTAAAACATGTGGTACACCCGTTATGATTGGTAAGTTTTAAGGGTGTTTTAGTAGAAAAATGAATCTTATTTTTGAAGTGATTTTTGTCATGATGTATTAAATTTTCTGAATAATCGTTCTAATATGGTAATTATAACAACATGCAATATTTTTGGCTCTGATCGTGCTCTTTTACTTAGCTTTTTTTCAAAACTAAGAAAATTATATTTGGAAATTCAATTTTTTTTAGGTGGTGGAATGTTGGCTCATACGATTTTAGGCGTCGATTTCAATGAATCAACGGGTGAATCATCATTTTTGGTTTTGGACCCTCATTACTCTGGCGACGAAGATTTACACACAATAATAACGAAGGGTTGGTGCGGTTGGAAAATGCCGAGCTTCTGGAAACAAGAACATTTCTATAATTTGCTGTTACCTATCCCGCCACAAAATGTCATTTAAGTACATATATATATAGAATTTGTATTACAGAATGAGCGAGACACTGCTAATATAATGTCATTCTTAAAAAAACATTATTATTCTATTCGAGTAATTCGGAAGTTTTGAAATTTCATAGTCTTTTATTTAACCTTCTCTGTTAAGTTCCAATAACTCTTGTACTTTGATTTTTATAGAATTCTTTTGTGATATCTCATATCATCTTTTGTTTTTCTCTACTACTGTTTGCCATCGATTTGGTTTATGGATGTTTTTACTATTATCTGGCCTTTTTTTATGCTCTTCTGCTTGTCCATTCACTGTGAGATGTGACTAATTCTGATGTGAAGTTTTTGCAAACAACTTCATAAAAGAAAGTTAAAATTTTAAAGTTGTTTTATTTCTTTATTATCTATAGTATGACAATTTCCGCACATATTTTTTGCTCAATGTTTTTATAATTTTTTCCTCTCTGTTTTATTACTGCTATTATGTCAAATTTGTGCCTCTCTAGTTATAAACATTTTGCAGCATATCGCATTTGTATAAATTACGTCTGTAGTAATTAGTCGTATTTTCTGAAGGCATACGTTTTATTATTTTCATGTTAGTTTCTGGAAGAGGGGTTTATTAGAAATCGTTTGGTAAGTTTTATTAGATGTAAAAAAAGTAATCGTACTGCGTTCAGTACATATTTGCAATAAATTGTATATTGTCATCTGTTTACTCTTTGAAACTTACGAACTTACGTCGATGAGCTTTGAGAAGACTTCGTTGATAACGCATGCAGATGGTGCAGAAGTATCGGTGTATTTTAAAAATAAAAGAAACAAGAACCACTTTTTGCTTGTTCCATTTAAAAATTGTTAAAAGAGGTGTTGCGCAGGCTGAACTGACATGTGTTTGTAACGATGTTCCCCTGTTTCCAACTTTAAACTGTACTTCATTCCTAAATAAAAACCATTTATGATGGTCTTCCCAATTTTGCGATGTTTATATATTATATTTTGTCTGATAAGATTTCTCTAGAATTAATGTATAAGTGTACAAATGTCTTTTTTCTTGACTTTTTTCAATTATAATGATGACTTAAGTTTGTTTTGTTGTTTCTTTGCCGAAATCCATCTAGCTAGACATGAAACTGCATATAGATTATTTGTTCAGAAAATTAACCCAAATTTTGTTGGTATTTTAGTTCTGGCCATATTCCGAGCAGCAGGGACTAGTAACATGTTCTTTATCTGACATTTTAAATATGTTGAAAATGTTTTTTTAATGCAGTTATTATCTTTCGTTTGCGATTTCCATTTCCGTGTAAGATGAAGAAATGAATATTTATAGGGGGATATTATTAACACATTTTAAGAAAACGAGTTTCCACTAATTCCTTAAGCTTAAAAAATTTACGATCTTAGACATAAGGAGTGCATTAGTCCAGTACAGATTCCTCATTGAAATAATTCACTATTCTCTGAGCGCTAACAGCAAGGGAGTAAAGGCGTCTTGTCGCGGAGGACGATAATGAAGTAGACGCACCTAACAATCATCAGCATCGTACCATTTACTGAGTTAGTTGGCACAGGTCGTTTCCAAACCGGATTTCTTGTTTGGTCGCGGTGTAGTCGAACAAGTTTTGACCTCTTTTGTATTATTATTTCTGCAACCATCGTGTCATTGTCATAATTGTTATAAACCTCATTCCTTTACTGTCTGTAAATCAATTCATATGCTTTTAAATCTTCTGATTTCTTATTTTCGTTGAATTTTGAAACTTCATTAAACTTTATTGATGCTGCGATGCGTACTTACAACATCAATTACTATACATATGTGTACTAGTTGTTCTGTTGCAACAACGGTATAAGTTTCGGGAGTACCTAATTTCACATTTAATACGCTATATAAGTATATATGTGCTTTGTGATCTTTTCAATTCTCTGACTGTTAGCTGGAATACATTTTATTTTTCTGAAAAAGAAAGAAAAAAGTACATTGACTTTTGCGCTCGAGCTGGCTCAGACAACCGAGAAGCATTTTATTTAAGAGGGTTTCCAAAGTCATCTTTCATAATAATCATGTTTGGCGTAATCATTGGATCTCGTAATATTTTTAATGCGGAACACGAGACTTATTCGTCGCGTGTTTCGCCGATCGCTGTAAATTACAGTGTGAAATTATACAGCGCGTCATAACTGCATAGCCTGGCAACTAACAATAATATACAGTAGTGGTCGAACTATAATATCTGTATATCACATTCAGGTAGACGTAAGGTAGACAAGTATTCATGGAGTTACACGATAAGATGGAGTAAGTTTATTGAGGGAACGACTAACTAAAAATCTTGTGTCAGCTTCCCGAGATTTTGATGCACAACTGGAAATGCTTTTCTTTTACAAATATCATGTTGCGCGTAACATTCAGATAAACGTTATCTATTGGAAAGAGATACAATTATCTTACAACACGGTGTATCTCGGGAGTAATCATTATAAGCGTAGCAATGTCTACATAATAGAAATGCACAGCGTGCAATGGTCGTTAATGCACATATATGTTGCGAATGATAAAAAAAAGCATATGTATATATGTGTGTGTATGTATGTGTGTGTATGTATGTGTGTG